CCCCCCCCATCTAGTGCTGAGGTTAAGATTGACTAGGAGCTATACCCACACCTCCCCGAAGCGCCTACATGGCGTATAGTTTATAGTGGGAATCCAATTCACAACCTGTAAGTGATTCTTTAAGATATATTTTAATATTATCTTCCCATCTATGCTTAGGTCTTTCGAGTGGTGCGTTCTCTTGTACGCATTTTGAATTCCCCTCCCCCCGGCCTCGTCATGTTCGGCCTGTCTTTTTCTCCTTGAATATATCATCTTTATAAATAGTTTTTGAGAGTAAAATGTTAAGAAGCTTCTCGCTGTAAAAGTTTTTTGTTCGCATGTCCAAATATTCCATCTCAGTCTCTGTTGTATCATTGAAGACTTCTTACGATGTGTGGTATTAATTCACGGCGCCAAGAGATATGTTGAGCGTAGCTAAGTTTCTTAATTACGTCGGATCAGCATGCTAATTCTGAGCCCATTGCAAATGTTTGCTGTTCTCTGGTGAAACTCTTGTCGAAGCAAAAGCTCACTGAATTCAGTTTAAAATCCCGGAATGTCAGATAAACCATTTTATTGTTTTATGGCAGGTGGCTGCGCGTTCAGGGGAAACTTGTTTCAGATCCGGCCCGGTGGCGGGCTGTTTTGACTGTAGCCCCTTACGGCTTTCCTCAGACGCTCCAAGAACACAGTTCTTCATGAGAGATTTATAGCAGTCGGCTCATATACTTAATTTTCAAAAGAGCTTTGCGTAACACAAAGGTTTATTGCCATATTCATGAGAGCAAGTCACAGTACCTTGTTTTTAGGTAGATGAGTCTACACCCCCCCCCAATTTTATTTAATATTTTAATATTTTTTCCCCATTTGTGTCTGAATCTCCTAAGTGGCATTTTTCCTTAGGTTTCTCAATCAGTTTTTTGCATTCATTTAACAGTTCCCTCCCTCGTGCTGTATTTCTCGTCTTTTTTTGAATTTATTGCTGGAAAGGTGTTTCAAACAAGTTAGAAAATATATGCAGAGTGTGACAGTGTTGGCGAGTTGACTCCTTTACTGTCTCTAGTTTTTTAATTCGTTTATAAAATAATATTCGCGTGGAAATGTAGAAACTTATGAACTGGTAACTTCTTTAAGCCTGCGTTTGAGGGTGGCGTTGACGACAAATTACGTTTCCGAGTCTGTGAACATATTTTGTAGTGCGTTAACACTTACCTGAGGCAGCACCTCCCTGAAGCGACTCACTGTGTTCGTCTGAGGCCTTTGTGTGTTCGCGGTCCTTCAACAGAAAACACTAGATGCAAACTAACTTATTCGACAAATTTTTAAAGATATCACTACAATGTTTTTTTTTAAAAAAAAAAAGCAATCGTTTGCTCTGTTTTTAGTCTGATTTCCGTATGTTGTGATGAATGTTATCTGATCGCCGCGTCTATGTATTTATTTGTATGTACATGTCTAACTCTTCAGTGGCTCTTTAACCCTTCGAAGCCGAAGATCGTCTGAATATTATTTATGAATTCAGTCCGTACCGCGAAGAAAACACTACACCTCACCATTACGAAAATCAGCTGGTTAACCCTTTGAAGCCGAAGCTCGTCTTCATAATATTTACGAATCCAGACCGTACCGCGAAGAAAACACTTCACTTAACCATTAGAAGTCGAATCAGGCGGTACCACATAAGATTTAACAAAAGAACATCCCGGCCAAAGCCTTAACAAACTTCGTACAAACAAATATGAGGCATTAAAATTTATGCAATTTCGTATTAATTAACAGATTACGTTAATATGGCGGTATCGCTTTATACTTGTATTCGTAAGGTTCCCGATTCGAATCTAGGCTGATTTACAGGTCTTTCCTACTGAAATGTTTCGTGGTTTTCCTCTAAATATTTCAAGACTATCAACTTTCAAATGTTGAATTACCATCACCACCGTGTCCTTGAATAAGCTAAGAGCAGACCATCTGCCGTCAGAAATACTAACATGGCGACTATGCGAACTTTTGAGTTGGGTGCAACACTAGATCGATCCTGCATCTTGTATAACGACGTGTCTTTGCAACATTAGGAACTTTGTTGAGGTTATTTGTGATAAAATAATATATTTTTTTATGAAAAGTCCATGATTTGAACGTGAGTCTAAAGCATGTACATGTACCGATGTTGCTAAGAAACGGGTGAACAGAATGAAAAGTTAATTTTGAGTATCTTCAAACATGCCGGAAATATTACATAAACCTAATCGAATTGACTACAGTTATTCATATTGAGTTTAATGGTTAGGAAAAAAAAAAATTAAAATCCTTCAGGATTTGAAATAAGATTAATTGAAACCCTGAAGATGAAGATATTATGTTCACTCGAAATGTCGATATCTACCTACAATTCCACACAGCGTGACAACCAACATCGACATTTTCACCAACGTGAGAACCTCAAAATTCACTTGAAAATTTCGTTCCCTTCACGACAGTGATGGAAAATTATCTCAGTACTTACATCTTTCTGTCTACGCGGGGGCCCGTGTGCCTGTCTTCTGCATGTGCCTGGTGTTTATAACGTTGGCAGCAACTGAGCGCAAACAATGGAGGAATTAAGAGGACTACAGTGAGCAATGAACAGCCGACATATTTATGATATGTCTTACGGACTTTGAACAGGTGGTGACCGCCAGAGAAAGAGGATTGTAAGTCACTTTATCAGTTGGCGGCGTATGTCGTGACGTCGTAGAGACATTGGTCGCAGTCGATCAAATCCTTCGTTTCGTGTATACGTACTTCGAATTATACACAGACTGATTACAAACTCGGTTCCTGAATGTTTGATTCTGAGGATATTTGACGACGTTGTTTCAACTGCTCATGTTGCATATTATTAAATGGAAAAAAAAAATCATATTCGGGATATCTCGTGTTCAAATCTCTGACACCGAATTTCCTAACTGACTTATTTTGTAATTTTTTTAAGTCTCTCCAGGAAAATTACGCTAAAGTACCTTAAATTACGCCTCGAAACCTTTTTTCTATATAATTTCTACTACAGTACTCATTACTTTCCCTATTATTAGGTGCTATGTATGTTTGAGCTGCTGTAGCGTTGTTGAATAAACCATAAACAAACAACATGCATAAATGAGTTTGACCAATGAACAGAAAATAATATGGCGCTGATTACCTGTTTGTGGGTACACCCAAGGATTCTCCAGGAAAACTGAAGAGAGAGCTACGAAATAGGATTTGGGGTTCTCACAGCTGAGAGTCCGTAGATGTCTGTATTCTGGGTTGTAGCACCATGTTTTATTTTTTTATTTGTAGTGTTCTGTCTGACGACAGGTCCATATGAACAGGATCCTTCCATCCTTTTCTCGGACTGGGACCTGTTCATATACGTTCTTGGCAGATGATCCAGAAGTGGTACGAAGTAATAAGTACCTAATATAAGTGAAAGTCTGTGTTGTATGGACAGAAATAAAGTACAATTGTTCGTATTTGTTGTTTATATTTATACTGTGTCCACATACGTCAGCTGAAGACGGAGGCGGTATGTTCTTCCGAAACGGTGGTACGTACATGCACGTTCACACAGCGTGACAAACCGGAATATCAACATCGGTACCTTCGTTGCCGCGAAATACATTCTATAATTCAGCCATTAATTTTAGAGTACATAAAGACGGTCTATGAAATACGAAAATACGATATGACAAGGCGATTATGAAGTCAGTTGCTGAGGATTTGGATGTAAACAATTACGGTGGATTTTAAAAATTTAGTCTATTCTTCACGTGCCCATCCCATAAAACGCATTTCAGCTGACAAGAATTTTCTCCAGCCCTTCCTCCTTGGCGTCCTTGGTTCGATGCAGTCAATTTTTACTTTAATTTACATGCAAGCGCAAAATATGTAGTCGTTTTCTTTCGTGAAATCAAAAACCAGCGTTTCTCTCCGAGAAGATCGTTTAAAAAGAGTGTTTTTAGACGTTTTTAATTCATTATTGTGTGTAATTATTAACTACCTGGTCGCTTCAGTTAGTTTTAAGATTGAATAAAATAAAATCCACAAAAATTTTATAATTGATTTATTGAAAGTGCGATACGTCTTGGGAAGATGTGATTTGAAAACGTGAGCAGTCGATTATTTTTTAAAAAAAATTTACGCGGAGCATCGCGGACCGTATGTTGGTCCTGTAGTTGTCTTCGCACGCCCTGAATTACGTTAATACCCGGTGATTTTTGTGACCAGGCAATTACTTGCTGCCCCTAGCGCTCAGCCCGTGCGTGAAGTGATGTTCGATCTCTCCCAGGGTCTTCCCCTCCGTCTCCAGCAGCCGAAAGTAGAGGAACAGGAACCCGATGCCACTTGCCACGCCGTAGAACCAGAAAGCGCCGTGAAGGAGGAGACCGCGCTCGATGTCCAGATACGTTTTGGAGGCGAGGAACAGGAACACGTAGCAA